CACTATGCTGCCTTATTCCAGCTGAGGATCTGCCCGGTATCTCTCTCCATCTGAGTTCCCTACCTGTAAAAGGGCCGAATGATATTTTCTACTGTGTACTTAAATTGCAAACTCTTCAGGGTCGGAGCTGCCTCTTTGTTTGTGCTCAGTACAATCCTACAACATGGCTCCGGTCTTGCTTAGAGCCTCTCTGTGCTACTGGAACACAAATAGCAACATGTAGGATGGATGGTTCAGATGGGACCTTACGCTGCTGCATGGTTTGCTAGCATCAAAACATGGCTCGTCAGCCCAGAAACCCTTCCCTGTGCATGCTGATCAGAGGCAGCGTCGATGGAAGGCTGTTAGCCAGCACTGTAGATAAACACCCTGCTTGTTAGCAGACTCTCGAATGAACTGCGGGCAGGGCCTTAGAGCCAGACCTTGTTGGACTCTGGAGCGCTAGCATGCTGGGAACACAGACAATGCCGAGTTGGCGAGTGCCTTTCAATAGGAATGTAGGGATCCGTACTAATAGACTCTGTCAGGGTTTTCTTAAATTCTCCCCGAGCCGAGGGGGAGGAAAGAAGAGCGTGGCTGGGTCTCTGGCTTGGAGCTGGAAGGGATGGTGGCTGTCTCTGCCTCTCTGACTGCAGCTCCTCTAGCTCTGGGGAGATGGAGCAAAAATCCAGTAGCAGCAGCAAGGTTGGAGAACAAGCTGATCAAACACCTCAGTCCTTCATTCCCAGGGGTCCTGCTGGCTGCTCGAGGTGAGCTTCTGGCCCCATTGCCTGACTCACTCCCCAGCCTCCAGTCTTCCCAGCCCTCCCTAATTACTTCCAGGCCTGTACTCCTGACCTTTGCAAGCTGCTGATTAGAGCAAGGAGGGAGAAATCTCCAAGGGCAATTGTGACCAACCTCCGCCACTAATAAACCCTGAGATTGACAATCAGAAGGGAGGAAAGAGGGGGGGAGAAGGGACTCGTCCTCACAGGTTCAGTTTCTTTCTGAGCCGATCAGAGCTTGTTACCATCACGAGTGGCAATCCACCACTGCCGAACCCTGGGTACCCCAAGGAGATCACGCTGAGCTCCAAGAACTTCTCCTTTCTGTGATTTTATTAGAGATTGGTTTGAGGCAAAGCCATGAAGCTGGGCACCCATGTGGGCTGGGGGTGTTTGAAATCCAGGTATGGAGTTTGCAGATTGCCCCATCTTCGTAACAAGTGTTATTATTCTTAGAGGGCCCACCTAAACTCAGGGCCCAATTGTGCTGGGTGCTGTGCATACACATAGTAAGAGGCAATCTTTGCAGTGAATAACTTGCAACCTAAATAGACTTGACAAAGGGCAGAAGAGCAGTATTATCCCCATTTTTTCTGACAGGGAACTGAGGCACACAGAGACTAAGGGCCAGATTTTAAAGTTATTTAGGAGCCTAATTCCCCCAGTCATTTCTTTGGGAGTTAGGCACCTAAATACCTTTCAGAATCTGGCCCAAGATCACACAGGAACTCTGGCAGAGCTGGGAATTGAACCTAGGTTTCCTGAGACCCAAGCCAGTGTCTTAATAACAAGCCCTCCTTCCTTTCATTTTCCCTTTATAAGGGCAGACCCAAAGCTCCACTTCCCATCAACCCCAGCCGTCACATTCAGAACCAAATTTTGTGCCCTTGGCCCTTCTATAGTCTGACAAAAAACCCACCCACCCACTCTTTTGCAAAGTTCTCTGTCTTCCCTCCCCATTCCTACTCCTTTCTATTGAGACCAGCATGTTCACTCATTATTAACTGCACCATGGGTCCCAAACGCATTAGCAGTGTGATTCAAATGTACCCCAGAAAAATTACAGTGACTGCATTACCCACCACCGAAATGCAGCCACCTCTGGGGCATAACGTGGGAACTGGAAATGTGAAGGATGGTAGGAGGCGTATGGAGGTTAGTGGGACAGAAAGGCACTGAAGGTTAGTTAGCCAGAGTGGGGAAAGGTTATCTTCTTGTCTAAACTCTGCACGTTTGGAAAAGAATAGACGTTATGGCAACTTTTTATCTCCCCTCAATCGCTTGGCTCAACCCCCAACTGTAATATCCCATGGATCCACCATTCCACATTTAATCTGCTTGTACTTCCTGCTCTTCTGTGTCCAAAACAGCCCCGGGGGCGAGTCTGGTTTAGCGAATAAGCTGCACAGTCTCCTTCACAGTCGTTCCACTTCATTGGGTAAATACCCAGTTAGGTAGGTTTTTGTTACATAAATATGTATAACATTCTCTCTCTCTCCTCCCCTGTCCCTCACGCACATGCCCAGCTATAGCTAGCAAGGAGTTATCTGTCTATCTATCCATCCCCCCTGTCTGTGGCTATCCATCCGGTCATGCGTATTCTTATCTCTGGAGGCTAGCTCAGCCCTTTCGAAGGTAGATATGCACTGAGGCAGGATCTCAGTTCAATCTTCCCCTTGCATGCATTACATCCATTTCAGCGTTATTTCAGAAACATGCACTGTGTCAACAGCTTCCTATCCCAAGGCGTAAACACCAATTTACCCAACAGACCGGAAAGCCCCTGCAGCAGCAATCACTCCAGTCAACCCAGTCCTGGTGCTGGTACATGCTCGGTGGACTCGATCTCCCGACGTAGGGCCCAGGTGCAGCTGGTTTGTGGTTTATCCCTTCCTCTCAGCAGCTCCATATGCATTTCCCCTCTATTGATGCCTGGGGTGATCTGGCAGGGGCAGCAGGCCAGTCTCTCAGTTACCTTCAGCCCTCAGCAACCCTGCTTAAGTGCACCAGCCAACTTGAATGTTTGGGGTGAAGCAATTTTTTTTAAAGAGCTATGTCACCTTTGGATGGAAAGCCCAGGCTCTGCCCAGTTTCATCAGGCCCGGCTGCCCTATTTATCCATATGACGTAGCCAGCATCTCTCAGCCATTGCTCTTGCCTTGAGCCAGTGTGAGTCCCTGCAGCATTAGGCCCTTGGTTAGTGCTGTGTCTTTAGGGTCGTGACATTTCAGCGCAAGATAGAAATTGATCTGGCTTGTCAGATTCTTCCAAAAGGCCTGAGCAATGCCAGGGATCCTCTATCACATGTATACACACCTCCAGGGTCCTTTCCATTTCAAAGCGCTTCAAATCTTAGTGCCCTCCCCTACTCCCCCCCACCCCCCGAGTTCAGGGGACCTTTAAGGACTCTAAAAGCTCCCAAGTCTGTAGCCAGAGTCAGGAAATTGTAACCACTACATTTGGAACTTGCCTCATTCCCGTCACACCCCCAGTCTAGGGAAGGCTCACGGAGGCATAGCAAACCAGCTAGAACTCCCTTCACTGGCCATATCATCCCACGTACAGTGTACCCCACATCTCCCGGGGTAGGTAACACGTCCTCAGATGCTCCCTCTGATCATCACCCTAGTGGGTTCCATCAGAGGGAGAAATCTAGCAGGTGTTAACAGATAGCTTACTACTGGTGAGTCTGCACCGCAGGGGCAGGAAGGGGTTAATTTTGCAGGCTGGCCATTGAACCCTCACCTGGTCAGCAGCCTGTTGGCAGGGGGTCTGAGCTGCTTCCTGAGCTACCAGGAAATGCCCAGCCTGACTCCAGCATTGTAGAAGAGGTGCCATGCAGGGGGCCCTCTGAGCCGCATGTGCATGCTGGGTGATCCTTGGCAGGGGCCTGTTGATGGTCATGGCAGAGGGCACTCTGTACTGGGCTGTGAGGGGCGGATGAAAAGCCTTGAGCATCTCCTTGTGCAATGGCCTTTGGGTCGGTGCTTGGCAGCACACAAGGAGGAACTTGCTTGGATGGCGAAGGGGAAGGCTTGGCAAGGGGAGCCCTGCGCTTAGATGGCGGGTGGGGCCAGGGGGGATCTGCGTTCAATTTGTGTGGGGTATGGCGGGGCCAGGGCTGGGGGCTGTATCCCCAGGAGTGGGCCGAGAGGAAATGGGTTGCTTGGGGCACAGGCAGGGTATGCAGGAGGGGTGCTGGAGGCCGCCTGGGGGCATGGAGAGGAAGGGAGCAGGCGGTACCGGGGGTGTGGGAGAAGCTGAGCAGGTGCTTGGGAGCAGGCGATTATTGATTTGTATTGTGGTAGCACCTAGCAGCCTCAGTCACGGACCAGGACCCCGTGGTGCTCGGTGCTGCACAAGCAGAAAGAAAAGCCGGTCCCTGCCCAATCAAAATATAAAAACTAGAGAGGACAGATGGATCCGGACAGAGCACCAGGAAACGGCGAGACAATACGCGACAGGCGGGGGTCCCCGCACAGCAGCTGCCGAAGCCGGGCTGGCTTGTGCAGGCGCGGGGACAGCGCGGGTCCCGCGGCTGTGGGGCGCCCGACTGTAAACCCAGCAGCCAGCGCTGATGCCTGCCGTGCGGGAGCTTTATTCTTCTCAGAGGGGTCCCGGCTGCAGGAAGGGTTTAATTATACACCCCCCCCCCGCCACTCCCCAAACAGCCCCCCACAGCCCCGCTCCTCCCGGCTGCTCTGCTGCGCACCGGCCCGGCGCGGCGATGGTTAACCGGGGCGGAAGATGCTGGTGGTCCCCTGGCTCGGTGAGGCGGGACCCCAGCGCAAGCCCGGATCCTGGCGCTCGCACGGCACCCGGCGCCGGCGGGGTGAAAGCGGGGGAGCCCCGCCGCCGCGCAGTGCGGCGGGGCCGGAGCCCGAGCGCGGGTGGCGGCCGTGGCCACCCCGGGGGAGCCCGCGCCCGGGCGGGCGAGCGGCGAGGCGGAGCTCCCGGCCGGGAGGCAGCGCGCAGCCGGGCTGCTGAGAGCCGGGGCCGCCGCCGGCTCCTGCGCGCCCGCCCCGCCGCCGCCGCCTCCTCCCCTCGCCGAGCCCCGCCGGGGGCAGCCGGGCTCCCTCCCCGCCGCAGGTCGGCGCCCAGCCCGGGCGCTGCCTTTGCCTCGCCCGGCGGGGGAGCCGCTGCGCCGCAGGGAAGTTTCGATCTTGCGACAGAAGCAATTTGTCGTGGCTTTCCTTTATTTTTCCTCCGCCTTCCTTTTCTTCCCCCCCCCGCAACCCCCCGCCGCTCCTGCCCCCCTGCCCGGGACCAGGCTGGGCTGAGCCGCCACCCTCCCTTTCTTGCCGGGGAGGCTCACGCGTCCTCCTCCTGGGGTGATAAACTTTTGATGGCGGGGCTCCGCGGCGCGTGCCCAGCGGAGTCTTAAAGCGGCGTCTGGAGCAGGCGGCAGAGCTGTGACCTTCATCTCCCGCGCGGCACCTCGCCCCCTCCTCTTCCTCCGCCCCCCCCCCCAGCCAGTGCTCCCTTCCTCCTCCTCCTCCCGCGCCCCAGGAATACCGGGGGCTCCCTGCGGATGCTCGGCGCTCTGCGGCTGGATTGCCAGGGGCTCTGCTAATCTCCGAGGAGCTCCGTGTCTGCCCCGCGCTCCCACCCTGTTTGCTTCTTCCCCTCACCCCTCCCCGCCCCGCTCCCCCGTTTCTCCTCGCCGGGGGTGTTTCTGGCCTTTTGGAAAGTCCCTGCTGCCCAGGATGGGGGTCGGCGGGGGCTTAGTCGTGCCCTGGAGGTGCCTCGTCGTCCTCTGTCTCAGGCTGCTCTTCCTTGTGCCCGCAGGAGTGCCCGTGCGCAGCGGGGATGCCACCTTCCCCAAAGCTATGGACAACGTGACCGTCAGGCAAGGGGAGAGCGCCACCCTCAGGTAGGAGCAGATGTTTTTTTCTCTGGGTATCTACAGGGGTCTTGCTCTGTGGGCGCCCCGGCCCCAGGTGCATGCCAGGAGGGGCCGCGTAGGAGTGGACGCACCCGGCTGAGCCAGGGGCTTTCGATGCCACATTGCAACAGGGTTTAGCCTTGGCTCTGGCCATTTCTCCTGTAAAAACAGGTTGAGAGGGTTTGTCCGTGAATGGGGCGGGGTGAGACCCCTGAGTCAGGGAAGAACGTGCAATGCTGCGGCTGGGGCTCTGGAGCTGGGGCCCAGTGGGCTGGGAGTGGGGCATCGGGGGGGGGGTGCTGACACGGTAATGGGGGTGTCTCTGCGTAGAGTGTCAGGGTGTCTAAAGGAACAAAGAGGGCACGTTCTGTTGTTTTTTCGGCACTGGGTCGTGGGTGCCAGACGGGAGGTTGCAGTGAAACGTGGGTGCGGGGTGGCGTATTGGCGGTGTCATGTTGGAGCTGGCAGGAGAATGTTGGTGCCAGACAGTGAGCTGGCAATTGGGTTTAGGTGGCAGACAGTGAGCTAGGGCTGGCTGACACTCCAGTTCTCTTCCTAAAGTTGTGGGGGGGGGGGGGAAGAGAGGTGGGGTGGGTATCAGGGCTCTGTATTGCCTGTGTATCTATGCCAGCATGCATTTCTAACCGGTTTCCAGGGCTGTGATGCCTCCGGAGCTGTCAGTATTTTGCCTTGATCACTTTATATTCTCTGCACACATCTGTTAATATCAAATCAATCTTTTACTCCGGGGGTGCATCTTATGAATTCTGATGGATGTTTTACCTTACGCTGTTTCCTGCAAAAGAAATGCAGGCAACTTATATGCAGATGGCCGCTTCTACATGAGGCAGTACAGCAGAGCGTCCCTTTCCCTTTCCTCAGCGAGTTACAGGTGTGCCCCGTATGCTGTGGGCACATGGTGTCGGCACAGCAGAGACAGCCAGTTCAGTACATGCTGACTGTGCTGTTTGTGGTCCGATAGACAGGTCCAGTGTTTTTCCAGTTATCTGTGCGGCATGAAGTGTCTGTGGTGGGGTGTGGATTTTGAGTACGGATCTTAAACAAACAGGTCCTAAGAACTTTGCAGTCTGCTGCCCTGTATCGAATGCCAAATAGTCTGTGATACCACTCCACCACACTAGCCTGCCTGCTTCCTTCCATACACCCAGAACGGCAGGGCTGCAGTAAGCAGTTCTTCCTCCCAAACTGGCACAAGGGAGTGCAACACTCAGGCTACGTGTGTCATCATATCCTCCTCTAGCAGCTGACCCACATAGCGGATAAGAGCTACTTCGATTACCAGCTGGCATTTCTTCCTTTGCCCCATTTACCTACCTGCTTCCTGGTCTGTCATCTCCCTGCTTCATGGGCAGAGGGGCTCACGGAGGGAGATGGACACATCGCACCCCGCCATTCAGACAGCAGCCTTGTTAAAACAGGACCCGCAACACCACTGCCCCTTTCCAAAGCTCATTCCCAAAATTAGCTAATGAGCCCACGCATCCCCTTCTGAGAAGAAAGAGCAAACAGAACAGAAATCCAAAGCACAGAGGTAAAGTGCCACCCACATAGTCATACAGAGGGGAATTGGGGTTAGGACTTGGGTTAGAACTCAGGACTTCAGTGCTGTGCTCAGCCCTCTGGCTCTGAAATAAACACATTTTCTGCAGGCCAGTCAGAGCCCCCCCAGCTCCCCTTTGTGCTCCATCCTCTTCAAGGTCAGATTCTCCCTGAGGTCTGCCCAGCCCAAGTCAGGGTGGTTTATGCCTTGTGATTCAAGGGACGCAGGTTAAAAAGCAAAAGGCACAATTTCCATTTTGCTCCCAATAATATAGCTTCTGAGATAATGAACCTAAGCTGGTTAAAAATCTCATTCTCCTTTCTCCCTGGATGCTGCTTGGTGGTTTTCTGAATTTCTCCCAGCCTGGAAAATGGAGGCAGACTAGTTTGTAGACTTTGAGGTTCTCATGCTCTAGCAAAGTGCTGTGATGTTAGGGCTGCAAATCTAACAGGGAGAGGATCATATGTTCAAAATATAAAGCCATTTTCTTTTAGAGTTCTTGGTTTTAAATCATTGGACACATGCCTCTTGGTCTAAAAGCTTAAATTTTAGGGATACATTTGATCTGATGCTGTCTCTGATGCACGCTCTGATTTCCACCAGCAGAGGGCCAACTTTGATCTATTTTTTGAGGCTCTGGCCTGGTTGTCTGCTGTTAAGGATGAAACTTGCGGCAGCTGGCCTTGGGAACGCGAAAGGTTGGGAAGAATCCAGCCCCATAGTTGTTGGGCTTTTCAGCCTTCCTGTAAGAAATGACATTCCCCAGCAGAACTGTTAACTGCCTCTTATTAGCAATAGGACCCTGTTAGGAGAACCCCAGAGCTGTGTTCTTTATACTCCTGTCTCTCCATGGTATCCCCTCTCCTCTCGCTGTGTCTCATCCAGACTGTCTCTTGCTTCCCTCCCATTCTCTCATCTCTTTCCTTTCTTCTTCCACTTTATCTTCATCTGTTCTTCCCCTACTGCTTTCATTCCTTTTTCAGGTTTCAGAGTAGCAGCCGTGTTAGTCTGTATCCACAAAAAGAAAAGGAGGACTTGTGACACCTTAGAGACGAACCAATTTATTTGAGCATAAGCTTTTGTGAGCTACAGCTCACTTCATCGGATGTATTCAGTGGAATCTCTTTCTCTCCTTTCATCTTTTTTTTTTTGCCCTGTGTCTCTCAGTCTCTTCAACCTCCCCCTCTTTATCCTCTGTCTCCTCGTCACTGCATGCGTCTTCTCCACTTTCCCTGTTTCCACACTCTGCCCCTTCCATCCTTCCATCCCCAGCCACGCTCCTTGCAGTGAGCCACTCCCCTGTCCGTCCTTTGCACTTGTTCCAGTGGTGGTATCGCTGGGAGCCCAGCCAGAGGAATTGTGTTCAGCTGTCCTTATGTCTTTCCATGATAACTGCTTGCCAGGCTCTGCTGGTACCTCCTGCCAGCCCCACTTCCAGCTGGCCCTGCCAGGCTCACTTTTGAATTTTTGCCTCATCTCTCGGGTGCCAGCCCTTAGAAGCCAATTAGTTGCTCAGTGAGCTAATGAAGATTCAGGACCTCCTAACGCGGAGCGCTCACAGTGTCTATGCTAGCCCATCGTGCCCACAGCTTCTTCATTAATCAGCTTAACCAGGTGGACCTCTCAGGGAATGGTTTGTCTAACGGGGGTCAGCACAAAGCCCTGGGAGGCTATCAAAGCCAGGGCACCAGCTTCCCTTCTGTGCTCCACCATGGTGCCGCTTCCTTCCCAGGGGCTCCACTGCGCAGAGTGATCCGTACATGTGTGGAAGAGCACAGCCTTAGCTCTCTCTGGAGCTGGGTTATTGCCATCACACGGGAAAACTCCACTGCCCATAGGAACAATCCTAGACTGCCAGGGCTTTCATTGCTGAAAGCAGCTGTTGCTGCTTAATCCGGCTATCTGAGACAGACATGTGCAATTCATCTTTAAAGTGAACCTTCCGCTTCCCTCAGATATGTGGCATGGCATTTGTCCTTACCTGAGATGTGACACCAGCAGCCGTGCAGCGGGCTGCGGCGTTTTGCAGGGATATGGTGTATCAGGGATGTAGTGGAAAATGATTTGCATCAGCACTGAGCAGGCTGCACTATCCTGCAGGAGACGATATATCAAGGATGCAGCTGATGCTGATTCGGAACAGCCCTGTACAGCAGACCGTAATGTCTTGCAGGAGACAGTGTATCAGGGATCCATGTGATACTGATATGCAGTTTCAGGGAGAGGGTGCACTGGGCTGCACCTGACACTGATTTGTGGCTTCACCATGCCACAGGCTGCAGTATCTCAGAAGACAGTGCAGTGGGATGCATGCATGCAATACAGATTTTAAAACATCCTTCCCCCATGGGACAGGAAAGCAGTGAGGCCCTTAAAACAGACTTCAGAGGCTCACTGCATTATGCATTGATGACAGGTTGCATTAGGCCTCCAGCATGCACAGTCTCTGATGTGATCCTGGCATGAAATGCAGAGTCCACACCCAGGTTGTGGAGGGAGGTGGCATTGACAGCTATCTGGTGAGGAGACTGTTGCTTTAAAAGAGAAGTTAGAGGTTTCTTTTTCCAGTAACGAGAGGACTTGTAGGGCCTTCCAGCAGTTTCACAAACCAGGGTCCAGAGACGCGAGCTCATTTATACCTGTAAGCCCTGAAAATGCACTTTTTAGTTTTCACCCAGAAGGTCCCTTTGAAAATGATAATGCAGGAGGGCCTGATGCGGAGAGGTGCAGAGCACCTGAAACTCCATGTTGACTTTAATGGACTTATGGAAGCTCATCACCACTCTGGATCAGTCCTTAACAGAACTTAATAGAAGTTCACCCAGTCCTTAAATGCATACAGTGCTGAAAAAAGGACCAAGTTAATAGAAGAAATGAGATCTACAATGAAGAGCAGGACTTTTGGCTTTTCTGGGGGGGCAAATGAAGATTCCACACAGACAAGCAATAGCTTAGCGCTTCCCTGGGTCTTAGCTGCTCCTGAATCTCTCTCTGCTTTTTCTTCCTAGAAATCCCTTGCATAATCTATGGCTCCGTCTACTGGCAGCTTCCCGTGTCACTTTAGATCATTGCCGTACAACCATTCTCATATTTTAATGGAAAACTTGCTGTTTTGTTTTAAGAACAAACAGTTCCCTTAGTACATTTACACACTTTGCATCTCAAAGAAACTCCAAGTGGTTTGCAGTCGGTCTATACACTGTGGATAAAATCAGACAAACAGCCAAGCCGTTACCAACTGCTGAAATGCAGCCACTTCTGGTCTGAAGCACAGTAGCTGTTTAGTAGCCCACAGAAATGATCACTACACAGCAGTTAGAACAGGAAAGGAAAACACACAAATCAGCTTGAAACTAAAAGTAAGAATATCATTATCTAGCTGGAATTTGGTCAGGACATAAGGGTTAATGTTCCCATTCTTGTGGAA